TGCTTATCGATGTTGTGTGTGGTCGTCGCTGGGTCATGCGATCTTTCGCAAGCTCATCTTTGTTTCTGTCTATCTCCCTCATAAGGAGTCTGAGCGGGGTGCACAGGGTGAAGCACGCCGTTCTCCTGAAGGGTTTTCTCGCTAGTTTCAAGCTCTATACGGACGTGTTATCGGATCTTGTTGCACATGTCTCTGCGGCCAAAAAGCGATTTCACATTGAGGAGGTTGTTATTTCGGCTGACGCCAACGTGGAGGTTTTCCCGCACCACAGGATCAATGGGGTGGAGGTTACGGGGGAGGCGGTGAATGGGCCTATACGTAAGAGGGGGAGGTCTAGTGGAGGTGACGAAAGTAGAGCCAACAGGATGCGGGAGATGTACTCGGGGGCCTTTCTGAAGACCATGGGGGCCCTCAAGTTGCAGCTAGCTAACACTTTTGGGAATCGTCAGCCTACTTGGAGACGCAATTCAAGCACATACGAGCACGTTTATGATTATCTTGCGGTCCCAGCTTCTTGGATGACTCCAGAGGTGACTTGTTCTTGGCTTGTGCCGTCCCAGGTCCCACGGTCCGAGGCGACGGAGAGGACGTTTAGCGATCACAAGCTCTTGTGTGCCGAGATGCCCGCCCAGCATGCTGAGTTGAGGTATCGACGTCGGCCTCAGCTCAAGACTTGGAAGCTTCAGCCAGGGTTCGAGCTCCAGCAGACAGCCGGCTTGGAGAAAGCGATCTGCCAGCCCGAGCTCGTGAATCAGATCCACACGGACGTAGGTTTTGAGGTCATGACACAGAGTATACTTGAAGGTGCCAGCGAGACTTTGGATATCTCCCGTTCTCATGGTCAGCCTGTTTCAGATTATCCCAGATATTCGGAGGAGGATTTACTGATTAAGGAGGAGTTCTTTAAGGTCAGGAAGAGGTGGAGGGTGGCACGATATGGCGGGGCTAACGTGGGACAGGAGGAGTACGAGAAAGTCCAGGAGGAGTATAAGGGGACAGCTAAGCGGTGGCGTCGAGTTCGTAAGCGTCATGATCGTGCATGTGAGCTTTATCGTATTCGTGACGGTGTCCGTCGTAGGCCTGTTATTACGCACATGTATGGGGACGGGGTCCTCACGCGTGACCAGGAGAAGTGGATTGAGGGCCTTCGGCGTCATGGGCTCCTGAGGTACTCTAGCGATCCCCACTGACAGGACACCAACGCGTGCTTGGATGAGCTTAAGAACCAGTGTAAGGCCCTGCGAGACTCTGGAGAGCCCCACCGCAATCCGATCAACATGGGTCTCTTGCTGGAGGCACGGTCTAGACTCAGGGAAGGACGGGCAACAGGTGCAGACGGGGTGTCGTCATCGGTGCTCAAAGCATTGCCATGGGAAGCCCTCCGACACATACTCACCTTATTCCGTTTGCTGTATGATCAGAAACATGTTTCACCGAAGTCCTGGAGAGAGATCTTGGTATGCTTGATGCCTAAGAATCCCAAAGCTCGTGATTTTGAAGAAACGCGGGCCCTTTCACTTCTTTCTCATTTTGGTAAATGGTATAGCAGTTGTCTATGTATACTTCTAGAACACCGCGTCCGGCAGGCTGCACCGCCAGGTTGCAACTTATATGGCTTTATCGCGGGTCACAAATGTTATGAGGTCACGGCCCCCCTCAAACGTCTTGCTCAACACGGCGTTGTGGGGGAAGGAGGAGAGTCTTTACCTTGCAAGTGCTGATATTGAAAAGGCGTTTGATAATTTCACGGTTAGATGTGCAGCAGAGGCGCTTTTATTCCATCATGTCCATCCTGCCCTTGTGTATGCTGTCTTTGAGAGTTCTGCTTGTAACACGGCAGAGATCAGCTTCCAACAGTGTTCTACGACCATCTCGTGGGATACTTGCATTCGTACAGGTTCATTGGAGGCGCCTTTGCTATTTGTTGCCCAGACCCTTCGTATGCTTGCACCAGTGACGGCAGGTTGGAGACAGTCTGGATACGGCGTCAGGCTCACTGATGAGGCATCCAATCTCTTGGTCAACCACTGGTTGTGGGCAGACAATATTTTGCTGGCAGCAGCTTCCAGGCGAGAATTGACCCATATGCTCGAGGACTTGACTGGGGTCCTCCACCGCTTCGGTTTCAACTGGAAAGCATCTTCGATGGAGTTCTTGGCTTGTGGCGTCCAAGGTCCATTGCAGGATATCCGCCTGCCTGTGCCGGGGCTCCTGCCTGCTGAGGTGGGTAGGAAGCGTTCTCGTGGGGCTTCCCAGAGCGCCGCAGGTCCTTCGGAGGAGATGATAGTGAGGCAGGTGGAGAGGATGGAGGTTCTTGGCACGCTATTGGACGTACGATTTCAGGATCATGAAGACATTAAGCACCGACTGGAGAAGGCACGACGGGTCTTTATGAGTGAGATTTCTCTTTACTCGTCGCCCGTGTTTCCGCTTCGTTGTAAGTTTCAGCGTTATGATAGCAGGGTCAGAAGTTGCTTTCTGTACGGTTTGGAGGGTGCGACTTTGGATCCGGGTAGTCTCCAACAGATACATGCAGCTGAAGGCAACTTCTTGTCCACCATGAGACGTCTCAAAAAGAAGATCACGGAGTCCTGGGGAGAGTACTGGGGCAGGAGGATTAAAGGTGGTCGTCGCTTATTGAAGTGGGCCCGTAAGCCTTCGATGGTCCAGCTCGCCCTTCATCGCCAGTGGCTCTTCGCCAAACATGTTGTGAGCACGATCCATGAGGAGCATAGTCGGGTGGATGAGGACGCACTCAGTCAGGGCATTCTTTATCATGAGCCACGAGATCCTGATATTTTTGGTCGTTCGCAGCGCTCCTTGGAGTTATCGGCTCCCTCGCCTACCCCGAATGCCAGACAGCGTAACAGTTCGTGTAGGAGAAAGGCACAGAGCGCGTCTTCCTTGGAGAATAGGTCAGTTCGCAGACGTATATCGGAGAACACGGCACATGAGCATCATGATTCACAACATGTACATGAGCCTGTGCGTAAGCGGGTACGCCATACCTATGCACGGGAGGAGGAAGGAGGATTGCCCACTGCCAGTATGCAGAGCGCCTTGACGATGATGCACGCGTCGGGGGAGTGGACTGAGCAGCGTGACGTACATGTTAGAGCTCTCCCGGGGGGCCGACGGTTTACTAGAGCTTGTCGTCATCGAGTCTTGACGGGACTTAGGCCTTGGTTCGAGGTCTTCGAGCACACGCACGGGGTTCATTGGGATCGTACGATGGTCTGGACTGAAACTGGCTGGCGTTCCTTCCTGGTGGGTACCCTGGCCGCCCTGGACTTGGATGATCTTCTCGAGTTCTGCCTTCTTCGGGATCCTTTCACGGGTGAGTTCAAGCAGGAGGAGGAGGGGGAGGAGAAGTCAGAGGAGCAGCAACGACGGGAAAATGAACGGGTGGCGAAACGACTGGCCGCGATAAATGATGATGAAACCACTTGGCGTGGGGAAGGGGGTGGATATGGCTTGGAGCTCCGTGGGGATAGCCAGTGTGTTGTGCGCTGGCTTAATGGACGATATCGCTGTCACAATGAAGTATATCGCCGCACGATCAAGGGTATGCAGAACCGCCTTCACAGAATGAGTGAGGACCATCATCTTGTCACGGCAGAAGTGGGAAGGGATATGTGGAAATGGGTGTATAGGGAGGGCAACGATGAGGCGGACCATGAGACGCATCTTGCACGTGAGGGTAAAGTAACTTCTGATGTTCGTTGGAATCATAACACTCTTTATCATATTAGATCGGGTCATTATATTGTTCGTGCACTTAGAGGAGCTTTCGATGGTGGGCGGTGTGAACGTGGCACTTCGTGTGGCTGGGTTATGGATGCTTATCTTGTTCCCTCTCTTCCTCCTCACCAGCTTCCCCCTGGACTTGTGCAGGGCGGATGGCACCCTGGAGTTGGCCGCGGAGGTTTCATGATCCCTAGCCACTGCGCGATCACACAGGCGGAGTTGGCAGCTGCACATTCGCTTCTCAATGGCATTGCCGAGATGTGTATACACGTACAGCTTGGTAGGTGATTGTTTGTGTACTATATCTGCACAGCTCCGCTGTTGTAAGATACTTGCTTAGCCCCGCTGTTGCTTCGATGTGTGTATATTCCTGTGCAGCTACGCTGTTGTATCATATCTGCACAGCTACGCTGACTTGTATATTCGCACAGCTCCGCTGTGAGTGCTTAGGTTGCCTGTAGGTAATCCTACCGCTGGCCCTGCCCCCTAAGGGGGCTCGAATCGGGCCCCGCTGACCGCAGACCAGGTTGACGGTTCACCGCCGGCGCCAGTTAGTATCTCAACTTCATTCTCAAAGCAGCTCCTCTCTCTAGAGAGAGTTTTAGTATGCGAAAATGAGCGGGAACAGACATCGGAGTGACATCGAAAAATGAAAAGTTGACCTTTTTTGAGAAAGGCCCCGAGAAGCTGTCTGCTTCGATTCTGAGCACTTTCGTGCCTGCAAGGAGCTCTACGAGGTTTCCGGCGGTGCCCAGGTTGACGGTTCACCGCCGGCGCCAGTTCCAGCGCGGGGTGGAGCTAGTTGGTCGACCCGACGTTAAGGGACAATGTGATGATGTGGGGTCGGTTTTCCTAAATTTGAAAGATATTCGACCGTTTATTTTGAGAAACCAAATTTTTCGCACCTGTAGTGGGTTATTCCGCGTTTTTTTCAGTCAAGTTCTCAGGTCCGTAGCTGCAGTATTATTATCAAAACACTTGGAGGAACCGACGTTGGAAAAAAAATAACAGAAAAACGTGATTTTTCGAGTTTTTTGTTTCTCGCTCAAGAAGCTTTCTTCATGTGTTTCTGACGATCGCCGTGCAAGAAAAGAGCTCTACGAGGTTCCCGGCGGAGGGGGAGGAGGAGGCGGCATTTGCTTCATGTGGTCTCGCGCATTCGGGCTTCTCTGCAGGGGGTGCGATTTATCTTTTTGATGCCATTTGTGGAAAGGAGGAACATGAAATGAGTGGTTCCAGGACGGACGATCCCTATGCAAGTTTGGCAAAGTCTTCCCCTCGGCAAAATGTTGGGGCGCCAGTTTCTTCGGCAGTTGTTGGAATGCACGTTTCTACTGCAGATGTTGGCATGCAGGTTTCTTCAGCAGATGTTGGAATGCAAGTTTTTGGGAGTGCTTCAGCAGATATTGCGATGCAAGTTTCTTCAGCAGACGTGGGAATGCAAGTTTCTTCAGCAGATGTTGGCATGCATGTTTCTTCAGCAGATGTTGGAAGGCGCGTTTCTGGGAGTGCTTCAACAGGCGTTGGAATGCAAGTTTCTTCAGGAAATGTTGGATTGCAAGTTTCTTCAGCATAACAAGATGTTGACATGCATGTTTCTTCAGCAGAGGTTGAAATGCACGTTTTTGGGAGTGCTTCAACAGGCGTTGGAATGCAAGTTTCTTCAGCAGATGTTGGATTGCAAGTTTCTTCAGCAGAACAAGATGTTGGCATGCATGTTTCGTCAGCAGATGTTGGAATGCACGTTTCTGGGAGTGCTTCAACTGACGTGGGAATGCAAGTTTCTTCAGCATATGTTGGATTGCAAGTTTCTTCAGCAGAACAAGATGCGGAGGTTGGAATGCGAGTCTCTTCAGCTGGTAGTGCAACAACCTGCGCGCGAGTGAATCGATCTGATGTTAGGGTGCCAGATAAAATGGAGCAATTCGACCAGTTCGTAATTGAGGTTGGAGTGCACGGGCGAAGTTACTTGATAGATGACATGCTTCGCATGAGCTTCACGTCACAAAACGTGTTTCGTCTCGCCAGGTGTCTGGGCAGAAAGTTCGGCACTCCAGTTGCCTCTAAGACTCAGTGCCGGAAGCTCGGTTACGGGTATAGCCTCAATCAGGACATTCTTTTTGGTGTGTTCTATATGTGTACCAGATTGAAAATATCAGAAATTCACGGTTTCACCAGGCAAAGGGCAACGCGCGATACCGTTGTTGAGGGCATCCTGCAAGACCTCATTGTGGTGCAAGGTGGGCCTAGAACTCTGGGCGAGCATGTTCATGGAAGTTTTTGGAAGGAGGATTTCAGCCAATGGACGTTGCAAGATACGCGCCGAGTTCTCGGTTTAAATTTACTCTGTATTCCGTGTGTAAGCAGTTCTAAGGTGGATGTGCAGGAGAAGGAGGTGATGGAAGAGGATGAGGATGACTTGCAGCACAATCGAGCACCTGACGCAATGGTTGATGTTGAAACAGCAGTGGAGCTCGTGCCAACAAACTTGCGGATCAGAAAATATTGTTTTGAACGGCCGATTGTTACGGACAGGCATGCTATTGCCTCCGCCTGGCAACAGTGGCAACGTGGTTTGGATCCCGAGGCGCTCTGTAGCAGTGCTCCAGACAGTAAACGTCTTATATACACGGACCCCCCCACATTTCAAGAGTTGAATATGCTTCAACGTCTTTTGGGCAGTGGCTACTCCCATGCGGATATCTCGTACTTTGAGGGCTGTCTGGTTGCAGCGGGCTGGGATGAGGAGCTCGGTGTAAACTCCGTTTCCTGTATAGAGTCACTTCCGCGGGGATGTGGTGGAGGAGTTGCTGCAAAAATCGGGTCACGGTGTGGCATGCTTTGCAGTGCAGCGAGGTCTGGGATGGTGCTTTCCACGATGAAGAGCTCGTGAATGATTTTCTTGAGTCGGTCGTTTCTCGTCTAAGACGTGACGGGGCGAGGATCTGGGAAGACGTTCGGCAAAGTTAGATGCTACTCTCTCTCATTTGTGAATTTGATGGTATTCGTTTCCTGAGCTCAACTTTTGCTTTGAGTGTACTCGCTGCATTCGTTGCCTTGTACTTCCAGGCCGCTTGCTTTGTACTTGTTGCATTGTCTGCTTGTGCTCTTGTCTTACCGCGGGTTGTTACGACATACTTCGGACTTTGTGTTTGCGTTGGCTCTTGCCATGCTGTGTGTGTGTCGGGCATGCGCGCATGTTGGTATAAGAGCTCCGCGTGTTCTTCACTTTGTTCGGAATAAGAGTTTTGCATTTGCCCACTCCCGCTCAAAGAGTGGTGGGTGTCTGGCCTGACTCTGGTATGCCGCCCGTTTTCCTGTTGTGTGTATGCTTGTAATTCACTCTGTCTGTTGTGTGTGCATAATTCAATTCGCATTTCTCATTTGCATTCTGACCTTTAATCTCTTGCATTCTCAGTGGTGTTGAGACGGTAATCGCTATATAAACCAGTGGTTACTGTATGGTTTCTCACTGCTTCTTGCATTGCTGTTTGCACAGCTCTGCACCTTCCTAGTTTTCTTGTTGCATTCTCGTGTATTTGCAGTCTTGTGCATATCTGTACAGCTTCGCTGTTTGATGCACTTCTGCTTTAATCTTTGCAGTTTCGCTGTCTTCCTGTACAGCGTCGCTGTTTAGATTCTTTGTGTCTAGGCCTGCTCCTGTGGGGGCTCGAACCGGCCTTCGCAAAAGACCGCAAAACCTGGTTGATACCCAATTGATTGATTGATTTAGTGATTGCACATAGGCTGACATGGTTGGCCAGAACCAGAAGTTGTTACGTTGTATTCCATACTCCCCTTATTGAACATGCGAGCAAAACAAAACTAGACGGCCTCCGTGGATTCTTCGACGGAGGTCGCTCTGTGGAGGGATGTGCTGCAGAGTGGTGTTTAGGTTTGTGTGTGCACGGGGCGTGGCTGTTCGTGGCGGAGGAAGCTTTCTCGCTTGATGCCTCTGCTTCTGTCGTGTTCTGTGTGATGTTTGCAGCGCAGCGGCTCTGTATGGCCGTGGTGCACGTTTTGGGTGGCCTCTTTCATGTCTAACCTGTTCCTACACCTTTGCAATTTCACATGTCGTGCATCCTGTTCCTTGTTCCTGCATCCTATTCCGATGCCTATGCCTCGTGATGATAAGAGATGCCTTCTCTAGCTACCCTGTGCTCCTTTTGGGACTCTTAGGGCTCAGCTGTCACAGCTGTCCGCGCCCTGACTGAAACTCCAAACCTGGTTGACGGTTTACCGCCGGTTCCAATGATAACTTTGGGTCGGTTTTGCTAAGATTTGAAAGATATTTGACGATTCATTTAAGAAACCAGATCTTTCGCACCCGTAGTGGGCTATGCCGCGTCTGCCAGTTGAATTCTCAGGTTCGTAGGTGCAGTATTACTATCAAAACACTTGGCGGAACCGACTTTGAATGAAAACTAAAAAACGTGATTTTTCGAGTTTGTCCGCTCTCGCTTTAGAATCTTTCTTCATGTGTTTAGAGGAGCGCTGTGCAAGGAAAGAACTCTACGAGGTGCCCGGCGGTGACCTGGTTGACGGTTTACCGCCAGTTCCCATTGATCGACCCGGCCAGAAAGGACAATGTGACAACTTTGGGTCGGTTTTGCTAAGATTTGAAAGATATTTGACCATTTATTTGAAGAAACCAGATTTTCGCACCTTCAGTGGGTTATGCCGCGTCTGCCAGTGAAATTTTCAGGTCCGTAGCTGCAGTGTTACTATCAAAACACTTGGGGGAACCGACGTTGGATAAAAACAGAAAAAAAACATGATTTTTCGAGTTTTTCAGGTCTTGCTCCAGACGCTTTCTTCATGTCTACCGAGGAGCGCCGTGTGAGAAAAGAACTCTACGAGGGCCCAGGCGGTTACCTGGGTGACGGTTTACCGCCGGTTTCCAGTTGCTCTCCGGGTTTTGGACGCTACCAAGTGCTATTCGGGTTTTTGACGCTACCAAGTAGCTTCCGCGGCCTGGCTCAGCCGATTTTGCAGTTCTAAGATTTCGTTTGGGCTGCTAATTGCGCAGGGCGAAGCTTTGCCTCCTTCCGTCGAAAAATTCTCCCGAGCGAAGCCAGGGGCCGACTGGCGCCGGCGGTGAACCGTCAACCTGGTCACCGCCGGGAACCTCGTAGAGCTCCTTCCACCCGTGAGAAAGCTCAGGATCGAGGCGGAGAGCTTCTGGGAGCTTTTCTAGAAAAGCGTCAAATTGAGATTTTTCGGAGTCAGCATAAAGTCGGTTCCCGGAAGTGAGCCGGTACTAAAACTGGCTCTAGAGAGCTGAGCTGCTGAGGAAACAAAGTTTATATGCCAATGCTCGGCGTAAAAATCTGTTTTCTCAAAATGAATTGTCAAATATCTCTCAAATCTTAAAAAAACCGACCCAAAGTTATCACATTGTCCTTTCTGGTCGGGTCGACCAACTAGCTCCACCCCGCGCCGGCATTCCTCTAGCTCATCTTGGCGAAGAGCTCTACGAGGTACTTCACCTTGACAGTCCAAAAATGCAATTTTCCAGTTTTACAGAAAATGCTATCAGAAGCTATCGGCTTGCACTTCTAGTTCTTCCAGGCGTCTGCTTGCTTCTATTGCCTCGTAGAGCTCTGATGGTAGAAGAGCAAGAGGAATTCGGCGACAGGGTGGAGCTAGTTGGCGAAAGTTCGAAAAGGGACGCGATCATACCTTTCGCGGCCTGGCTCAGCAGATTTTGCAGTTCTAAGAATTTGGGCTGCTGATTGCGCAGAGCGAAGCTTGTGCATTACAGAAGTTACTTCACAAATTCTTAGTTCGCTCCGTCGAGAAATTCTCCCGAGCGAAGCCAGGGACCAACTTCGCGTTGACAGTCCAAAAATGCAATTTTCCAGTTTTACAGAAAATGCCATCAGATGCTATCTGCTTGCGCTTCTAGTTCTTTTAGGCGTCTGCTTGCACTTATAGTGCCTCGTAGAGCTCCGATGGTAGAAGAGCTAGAGGATTTCGGCGACAGGGTGGAGCTAGTTGGCGAAATGTCGGAAAGGGACGCGATCATACCTTCCGCGGCCTGGCTCAGCCAATTTTGCAGTTCGAAGAATTTGTTTGGGCTGCTATTTGCGCAGAACGAAGCTTTGCATTACAGAAGTTACCTCACAACTTCTTAGTTCATAAGTTCTCTCGAGCGAAGCCAGGGGCCGACAGTCCAAAAATGCAATTTTCCAGTTTTACAGAAAATGCTATCAGAAGCTATCTGCTTGCACTTCTAGTTCTTTTAGGCGTCTGCTTGCACTTCTAGTGCCTCGTAGAGCTCCGATGGTATAACAGCTAGCCACCCGGCCTGGGCGGACAAAGTGATAACTTTTTGTCGGTTTTGCTAAGATTGGAGAGATACTTGACCATTCATTTTGAGAAACCAGATTTTTCGCACCTGTGGAAGACTATGAGGGCCTCGGCGTCTTAATACGAGCTCCTTAGGCGCACTTTTCACTAGCAAAACACTTGGGGGAACAAACTTCATGTCGACATGAAAAATGAAAAATTGAAGATTTCAGGAAAATCTTCTCAGAAGTTCTCTGCTTCGATTCTGAGCACTCTTACGCGTGCAAGGAGCTCTACGAGGTTCCCGGCGGTGACCAGGTTGGGCAGAGCTTACCTCCTGCTTGGCTTGGTCTCACCGCTGGGGTCCCCCTCGTCTCGAGCTGCATTGTGCAGTAAGGTGTTCCTCTGCTCCACTTACTGTACACGGTGCTTCAGAGTCTTTTTGCCTGTTTACCGTACTTCTTTGCACACGTGTCGGCATACTATTCCTTTCTGCTGCGGTATTCTGCATTATCGAGTGCTCTCCATCGTGCACACACTGTCTGTTCTGTGCTGTCTCATTGCGTCTATTCATTCAGTGCTTCATTCAGTGTTC